GGATTTTCGGAGTATATTCATTCAATGACATGTTCAAGGGTTCGAATCCAGGTCGCAAACCATTGGCATTTATATGTTTACTATAACCTCATTCAATATTTTCTTGAAATAAAACCATGAAATAAACCCATKCTAAATACTAACAAACAGCGGCTATTTAGAGACAAYATGTCAGTATCAATGAACAAGAACGYAAATTATTAGATGAAATGTGGATTCWTCTTGATTGCGTTTTTGTTCATTGATGCTGACAATTTGTCTCTGAATAGCCGCTATTTGTTGGTACTTAGTTTGATTTTATTTTATGGTTTTCCTGCGTTTGCTCTAGATCGGCTGAGATAAGCTACATAACCTKTTTTCATGGGTTTATTGCATTTTATTGAAATCATTTTTATTTAGTGCAAAAYCTTTTTTACATGAGCTGATTGGCTAGCAACCATTGTCGAGTACATTCCAAAAAATGGAACGACGGTCTGCTCGCGAACGAAACCAGCGTACGCTAATGAGAGGAACTATACATTGATATTTYTATTTATCTATTTTAGTCTATCCTACAAACTATGGACTATTACAATCCAGCATTCTGATTGGCTATTGAACTATGATATATTCATGATATACTATGGTCGCATGGAATGAAGCAAAAGAGTCGAAAAAATGTCGAGAAAATGTTTTCTTTGCGAACTTTTTTTTAATTTGACCTATAGTATAGTAGATACTAAAACAATTAGACCATTCGGTCTCTTGAAGTTCGAGTTGATCAATAGTCCTCGCAGTTTACTCGACCTCGTGGTTTAATTGTCGAATTTAATCTATTCAAATCATTTATTTATGTATGAAAAGCAAAAAAATGGAAAATATTGTAAAAAAGCGGCTAAAGGGAATATAGAGTCATCATGATGAAGACAAGGGTAATTCGTCCTCGTAACAAATTTGATTACGAAACTACAATTTTCAAAATTTCACAACTTCACAACTAATCAAGCACCAACTTCGTCAAAATTTCCGTCTGTTATAAGACCCATATGACGACCTTAAAATGCACCAGACAGAGCTGGTTGTTTGGAGTGCTCATTCGGGCAACTTCGGACACAGTTCGGGCATCGTTCGGAAGAAGTCGCTACCAAATATTCTTTGTACTATTGAGTYGCGATAATTTTAAAAATTGCAACTTTATAACCTTTAGGATCCTAACAGTAGGTATTATTCATAAAATTTAAAATCATTTTAACATAAAGTCATTGGATATTATTTCCATTGTCCAATCAGCAATCAGTTTGACCTGACGTACAACCTATGGTTTTAGCAGCAGAAAAACCAAAGGCACTGACGACATCAGAAGGGACTGGTTCTGGTTCGTCGAGGTTGGGCGTAGCTCCWCTCGAGATATTTCTGGGCGAGTCATAGATATTCATAAGGCTTGATTGTTCACCAGACCCCCCGGTAGGAGTTGTGACGTCACCATTCTGTTTTCCTTTAGGTACGGCATAAAGATTATCCATTGCATCGTCACCAGTCTCCCTTTGCGGATCTGTGAAGTCATCTTCGTGTTTCTTTTCGGAAGAGCCGTAGAACCGATCGTCTTCGTCGTCGGGATCGTTATAGATTTCACGGTTTGCAAACATTGGGTTCACGCTTGCAACGTCCGGGATTTCATCATCATTGRATTTCCCCTTCTTYTTKTTYCCTTTCTTTTTCTTKTTTTTCTTCTCGACTGTCGACTTGGTGGGAACTTGATAAAGTGATTCTGCATTTTCTTCAGATTTCAACGGTTGGTCTGAGTTAATATTATCCCTATCAGTTYCTTCGGGTTTRAACGTTTCATACATMGGATTWGTGAATCCTGCRCTCTCACGCCTGCTCTGCTCCTCTTCGTCATCAGGTTTYGAGTAAATTGGATTGTCGCTTACCGAAAAGGATGGCTGCGCATACAAACCATCGACATCGTACATTGGATTGAAGGTTCCTTCACCTTGACCCTCGTTGGATAGTTGATGACGTTGCATGACGTCAGTRGGGAGGTTGCTATTGTCCAGAAGCTCATGGTTGGTTCGGAAAGCACGGTTTTGGCGCTTTTGTTTTTTGTTGCGTCTGACAAATTTAAGACAATTYGTGATAAGAATAAACTTCTAATTTAAATTATACACGAAGACAAAATAGGACTGAATATGCGACATATTCCCTACATACAAAACAGTGATATGATRGTGCAATCTTCGAGAGCTTGACACCCCACACTCAAAGCGATTCAGGCGTTATTTGAAACCCACCCTAACACTGAATAGGGGAAGGGGTTTTTGAAGATTGATGCACAGGGATTTTTTTAAGAAGAGCGCGCTATGACAATTGAAAACAAAATGATTAATGTGTAGGTTATTCAGGGATTGTGGCCTTAGCCCTTAGCCCTTCAGACTTGAAGACGAAATCTATTGCCGCTCTTACCTGAACAACGCTACACCGATAATGAGTAGCAAGAGCAACATTCCACCAATACCAGCAAATACATAGTACATATATGGATGCAGCCCGAAAAGTGATCTGTTGTCTTGCTCACTTGCACCAGTGCTTGGTTTGAATTGCTTTATATGAAGTCTTGTGATCATATCCAATCCTGAGTTGCAGATCTGGTTTATAAAAAAAAAACGACGAAAAAAAAAAAGAAAAAGACAAAAAAGTTAACACCCAGCTAAAGAGCGACTTGGACGAATATTGCGAAACATTAAAAAAGGACTTGGAAATCAAATAGACATATCCATATGGGTCTAATAATCATGAAGCAACAGATTTCAAGAAGATATTGATACAAATCCTTTATAATTTGGGTTAAAAATGTTGGAGTAATACTCCATCCTTTTGTTCTGCCATCTTTTGAATCAAAATTTCTCTGATGTGGGATAATTCCAAAACAAATATTTTCCTACAATTGTTYTCAATAGATATAAATGAGTCATATATGACTTGAAGTTTTGAAATAAGGGCTCTCATGMATCAATAATGATCGTATCAATTTGTACTTACCTTTATTTCAAAGTCTGACARCACTCCAGGTATATTGCTGAGTTTACAAGCATCCTTCAACGACCAGTAAAAAATACTTTGCTTGACACCATACGTATTGWACTTAACCACGAAAAATACAGCAGTAAATTGAATCTTTCCATCCGTTGATTTCCTCACACGTTTATCGCTTAGAGGATAAAGTGAGAGTGTTGTCGTTTCCATTACGTACAGATCCGTAGCGGTACCACGTGTGTTGTTAGCCTCATCGCCTGTTACATCACCTATTTTGAAAAATATCTTTTCTGTGACAAACGTTTGGAACAAATACTGCCAGTGAGGCGTTTTCACTTCTTCAAGAGCAAAAACATTTGGTTTAAAGTAAATAGGTAAAACTAAGTCTCTGTCATAGCAGAGTTTTTGCTYGTTTTCCTTCTTCTTGCTGATGTCCGGTAAAACACAGATTTCGTTGGGCTTGCATTCGACGTTATCACAGTCGTGAATGTTCCTTTGGCATTTTGGTCCACTATACCCCTCGTAACACGAGCAGTCAAACCGGTTTATTCCGTCAGTGCAATCACCGTGGTTGTAGCAATTGTGTGGCTGGCAGTCGTCAATGTTTATTGAGCAGTTGACCCCTTTGAATCCCAGMATGCAATAGCATTTAAATGTGGCGTTAAAGACCGCAATTTCGCAGGTTGCGTTGTTCTGACAGGGGTTCGAAGCACAGTAATCAATAGGGAGGCATCCATAATTTCCCGTGAACCCTTTTGGGCAGCTACAAGTGTAATTATTGATGGAATCWRTGCAATTGCCTTGACAAGGATCACCAATTYGATTGCTGCAAATGGAGCTGCTATAAAGACATGGATTCGATGAACATTCATCAATTTCGCTACAGTTCCAGCCATTTCCCGTAAAACCAGGATTACAGCGACAAGTGTGAGCAGTTCCATTTACGCGCACGCASGTCGCGTTYCCGTTACAATCGTCTTTTGTGTCGCAAGGATTTACGCGRTTTATTGGAACAAAAATGGTTTTGTTGAACGACTTCGGTGGTGTTCCGTCGTCTTTCGCTTCGATCAATACGGCATATACATGGGTTGGATACGTMCCATCGTAGCTTAGATCAGCTATGTTAGTCAAAAACCGTACCTCAGATTCGCCAGTTGACTTGTTWACGCAAGTGTTACTAAACGTAAACGTATCCCGATGCGACAACAACGTAAGAGTTACGTTCTGTCCAGGATCAGGATCCGTTGTACTTATCTTTGCGATACAAGAACCAATGGGMACGTCCTCACGTACTGATGTATTTSCAGCCCCCACGAAATTTGGTGCCTCATTAACATCGATTATACGAAGGATGAAATCACGTGAGACATTTAGAGGCTTGGTCGCGCTGTCTGTTGCTATGATACTGACAGTGATGGTACCTTTGTGCACGGATGATTCGTAGTCTAAGCCAGATGGATCCTTTACGTACAAAACTGAAGWATTTGCATCAACCTTCAAACAAATTTGCAAAKCATTAACGTTASAGATGTGTCGTGAAAAACTAACTGATAGTCTTAAACTTTTTGTGTTTAAAGCGACATAGTCAACCATCATCCCTTGTGAATTTTTGTTTATGTTTGAAAAAAAGTCGTAGTATAAACAACAACTTACTCTTAATTATCCCTTTATGCTCTATGAATAAAGATATTGTAAGATTCGATTGCGAATGATGTTTAAACCCATCTCATTTTTCAAATGTGAAAAAAATCTTAAATACGACCGCAATGAATGCTGGTRGGTCAYGTCCCTTTAATAGCCGATTTTAGATATTTTGGCTCAGTGACTATGTACAAAAGAACGCMCACGAGGCTCCGGSAAAACAWTGGACWATCTTGATTTATTCTTTTATTTCCCCGGARCCTCGTCTGCAATTYTTTTGTGGATAGTCACTGAACCAAAATATCTAAAGTCGGCTATTGGTTCTTAAACTCAAAGTCCTTTTAACTGATAACTATTACACATTTCTCTAGAACAAACCACAACTGCTTGTGATCGCCATATTCTCTTCATATCATTGACAAAGAAACCAAATTGTATGACATACCCCAAATATATTAGACCAAGTWCCAGTTACTTTGAACACGTGCGTTTGGTCAAAGTCCGGATCACTGCATGATAAACTTCCAATGGCAGTYCCACTAGCTGAATGCTCTTCRACCATATGATTRCCRGACAAGGTGATGTTGTATGGACGCTCGTTGACGTCAGTGATAATYACGGAGAACGATTTATTCGTTGAATATGGTGGAGAACCCGAGTCAGTGCACAGAACTGTCACTACAATGAAATGAGCWATAGGTTTTATGAATGAGTTTATTAACCCAGTTAACATACAACCATGGATCGTTTTGCTATAAACCGACCATCAAGTATGTTTGTGATGCAAGAGACAACAACGTACACAGAGTATTGGAATTGGTGGAGAAGACAACTTAAACAACCAACAGAAATACCACTAATAATTACGCAATCAAATGATAAGCTAATCGATCAGAAATCATCATTTTTTACACTTCTGCAAGAAACACTTTGCATTTTTATGGAAACTCAGAAAATATGGATCCCAGGGTCGTCTACATTATATTTCTAAATTYCTTACATGCAATCGTCGTGTCATTCATAGTTTCATAATCAAGGTCAGCGGTCTTCTTCACAAAGACTTGCGCAGTAGACCTCGACACCATCTTTGTTTCAAACCATTTTTGGCCATCTTGAAGAAAACAAGTGTGTTTCTGTGATATATCTTGGTCAACTACGGTCAAATTGGCGACAAGCATTTCKCCTGGGCTGTTTTCCTTGACCATGATCCTTTTCAATTTGTCAACGGGTAGAAGTGACTTCACTGTGATATCAGATGGCGGGTCGTTACTGTCAAGAACTTGAACAATGACTTGGAGCTATAGAAGGAAGCAATATCAGTACTATCAGTAATCATAAGATTGTATATTGTCGAGACAACGAAAAAAATAATGAAATGAGAACCCCATTTTGCTTCCTCTTCGTTGGCAAAGATGTTCAAATCATTATGTTTTTGGACATCGAACTGAATCTCTATACTTCACACTAGGGTTACACTATAGACCAGTGACCAAGGGTGCAAAAAACCCTGGTTGTGGTGCCTCGCGATAACTGGCTCCCTTTTCTTACACCAAACTAATTCAAATAATGGATCACTATTGCCACTTTATTTAGACTAAGATCAGTAGTTCCCCTATAAATATATCTCCTTACCTCAGATGTTTTGGACGGATGGCCATCATCCGTTACGCTGATCGATACGTTTATAGTAGTCGAAGATTCGTAATTCAGAGCTGCTGATTTGAGAAGTAGTTCGTTTCCTCTAACGTTGAAAAGGTCTATGAAAGAAGTGCATTTTCAGAAAAAAAATACTGAAGGATACGAGTAACGTAATAATAATAACAACTTTATTTAGTGAGGGTAGCACTTAATAGTGCAAAGCACTAATCAACAGTCGAATCTATGATTCGTCAAAACTTTGATTTGTAGAACAGAGTAGTACAGCATACGTGTTGAGTGAATGAATGAATGGATGTCTGTCACTAACTGGATGAATGAGAATGAATGAACGAAATGATTCATCAAAGAAATTAAAAAAAAAGGTTTTATAAATAACGGATAAAATACATATAAATGAATGGTTGAGGAAAATATAAATAATATGATACCTCGAGGACTGACAACGCTGAAAGTGAACGTCTGTTTCGGCCTATCTTCATCTATTGCAGTTAGAGTACCGACTACTGTACCAGCCGTAGCATTCTCATATACACCACTGGAGTTTAAGATAAGCTTACKGGGAGGATCATTCATGTCCAAAACCTGTAGAACAGAACAAACATGAAAAAGTTGTTYTCATACAGTCAATCGCATCAACTTTGTTCAGTTGTTAGGGCCAGTTCACACTGCAACATAAGCATAAGGTCCATAAACCAAGGGTTTAAGGATTTAGAAGACAAAAAGGAAGGTGTTTTCTCTGTTTATTCCTTTGTCTTTGATTAGCTTATGCTCTGCCTTGTGTTACTTGCTATTTTTATATCGAAGCACGCTTGACTTTGTCTTTTGTTTTATTCGACATGCTTATGTCGTAGTGTAAACAGGCCCTTAAGACATAAGGACAACTACAAAGTCATTATTTTGTGAATTTTGTCTTACTTACGTCAATATTAAATGTCTTAACGATTTTTAACGGAGGAATACCGCTGTCCTGTGCAATTATCGTCACCTGGTAGGCATCTACTAATTCAAAGTCTAAAGGCCTAGTGGTTACCAGATTCCAGCCGTCAATTCTAAAGGCGTCAGAAGGAGTTTGGGTTTGAAGTTTTACTGTGACATTACCAAATGCATTTTCCTGAAGAAGAATTTAAATTTAATTTAAATTTAATTTAAATTTAATTTTAACACGAGATTAAAATAATACGAAATTACATCCAAATAAGCAAAGAAAGCTTATATAGAGATACAACAAAGCGCTTTCAACCAAAACAATCACAAAAACAAATGAATTTAAATAGTAACAAAAAAWTCATAACATTTTAATGCACTTTTCCACGTACCGGCCTATCGGGGTCCAGGACATTTATAGTCCCAACCAAACCCCCTGGTAGGACATTCTCCGGTATGCTAGTATTGCTCAAGGTTAGGTTATACGGGGATTCATTTACATCTATCAGGTAGATACTAAATGTAGTTGAAATGGTATAATTTCCACCCTTCAGTTCAAWACATGTGACCTAGGAATAAAACAAAATGAAAAATGAATAGAAAATCGATTAAAAGCATGAATAAATTAACGGCTACTCACTCCAACAGTATAAGTATCGCTTGTTTCATAGTTCAAAACATCTTCAGCAACCTCTAGCACCAGGTGATCAACAACCTAAAATAATAGACAAGATCAGGAAAAAATGAAGTTTTCACCTCTTCCACATAATTAAGAGCTGTCAATACTAAGTAATAATTACATAATAATTTTTCCGCGTTTTAATCCTCCGTTACCGATAAACTAGTCCTTCATGCTTACGGCCAGCATTAAACCAGCTTTGAGTWCATCTCTGCGAACTGCCTTGCGTAACCCTTAACGCACACCTCTGCGTGAAGCTTTTGGAAGTTCATTTTACGTAGTGCTTTACGTATATCTTTGAGTACAGCTTTGCGCATACGTTTAAGTAGTGCTTTGCGTATATCTTTAAGCGTATTCAACAGCTTGTAGTATCACAAAACCGGTAAAATAAATAATTTTAAACTATCGATATTAAATAGCTTACCTTGAATGGAGCCAARGAAGGATTGTTTACTTGACAMGAGTACCGTTGCCAAGAAATGACWGCGTTGTCGGGGTCGTGAACAGACAGATTACCGACTATAGTGCCGACTGGAGAGTTCTCATTTACCTGCAGTCAATAAGGTTAAAAGTGATATCGAAATTATAGTTAAAATAAAAGGCTTATAGTAAAGTTACTTTAAGCCCAGTGACATCACGTTTGTTTCACCGCAGTGCATCATGGTATTCATAAAAGTACCAAGATGGCGGATAGAGTACTTCAACACTATGAAGAGAGATGTTTCTTTGCAAACTTAAAGCTATCCATTGTCGAAAATACACTTTGCAGTGRACATTGGATAAAATGCCTACATACTAGAATGTAATCAAAGACCTCATGATTTATTTATGATTATATGTTTAGAAAAATGTCTGAAAGACGACAATATGGCTGCCGTTGGCTTTTTTTACTTTCGTCAATCCCAAACACCAAACCCCAATGACGTCATGAATGTTAATGATATTGTTAATTGCTATAGACCCCTTGCAGTTCATGGGAATGCAGCTACAACTGGAGGACAAAACAATAGATTCTAGTTCCCAAGAGGATAAAAATCTTTTGTTTTGTCCTCCAGATGAAGCTGCTTTGACGTCACATGCAAGGGGTCTATAAACGTAACCATAATTGCCATAAACTCTGATAAACGATATTTATCATCTCCAGTACTCACAGTATTACTGCTCAGAGTAATATTATTAGGTGCTTCGTTGATRTCCTGGATGATAACGTCTAGAGGACCCGTGACAGACAGGGGAGGGGTCCCTGAGTCAACAGAACGAACCAACACTATATATTTGGTGAACTGTTCAAAGTTTAGCGCAGATGACAGAGTCAGCACTCCAGCAGTTGGATCAATGGAGAAYGTACTCAGGACACTGCTATCGTTCCTGAAATTCGATTATTTTGTAAAATATTAATCAAAACACAGAGAACATTGTAAAAGATTTGCCAACAGTATGACTGTCAATAGTTTTTTTGTGGTCAGCGTCTTGTATAAACCTTAAGACACTATGCTCTCAGCTAAAAAAGTAATATAAGTGTGTACATGAGGAAGTTATTAGGGATGTAATAAAGACTTACCGTTTATGTCCCAAATGGCCCAGAGCAAGAACACTTTCAATAGTGTACGTGAACGTTTGACCAGCATCTTCATCGACGGTGCTCACCGTCCCCAAATACGTCCCTACAGGGCTATGCTCGTTGCAGGTAAAAGGACCASTAGCATTCAGTCCMGAGGGAACATCATTTCTGTCGGTGACTGTTATCGAAAAATTCTTTTGTACACTAAGACCTGTGGGGTCAACAAAAATAYGAATCAAGGAAAGTGAGTGACTGACTTAGTGAGTGACAGATTCGTCCCCCTCCAATAACTTCGCAATCTTCGAGTYAAAAMMWWAAAAAMGGGTCCATAATAATGGCTGTCCGTAATAGTCAGGTGGCCGTTATAGTAAGGTGTCCRTAAAAGCCGGGGTTGTTAGTAAGTTTCACGGCATCGATAATAATAAMTGCTTATTCACCTTTGYTATCGGTAGACTTGATCGTGATTTGCCACGTCGAYTTCGTCTCATAATCCAAACTTCTCGTGGTATTCAGACTATCGCCATCAATAACAAACGGTAAATTATCACCGCCTACAARGCTGTATGTGAACGTTTGGACATTGCTCATCAAATTATCGGGATCAATCGTGTTGAACTTTCCAACAGATAAAATCCCAGAGTTCTCWGCGACCATGGATTCTGAGAGACTTATACTTCTAGGCGCTTCGTTGATATCTGTGATATGCACAGTATGTTTTTTGTCTAAGTACAGCGGTTTGCTTCCGTTGTCGTGACAACGCAATATGACGTCAATAAAGGGCGTGGCTTCGTGATTTAAAGAGCCAGCAACAATCAAGTCGTTCGTTGATTGGTTGACTATAAATGGAACGTCGTTGACAATGATACATGCRTGAGCTTGCCAGTCTCCCCTAGGGCCGAGGTTGTCAGGGTCGATGACAGAGATTTTCCCCACGATGACTCCAATGGGGGAATTTTCTGGGACACTGTCGTTTGACAGGAGAATATCTGTGGGCTGTTCATTAACGTCATTTACCTAAAGCAAATAAATCAATGATTCAATTTAATGACAAAGAGAAAAATGTTAATACAGCAACAGCAAAAAACTCTTTTAAGCAGTTTTAGGGACTGGAGGGGTTAGAATCCAGGGGGGGCGTAATTTATTTCGCTTGTGCTCCTGATAAATATTGCGCAGTGCCTTAGAGTGAAGTTAAAAAAATAGAAAAATAGTCTTTTGTATGCCAGGTTTTAATTTTAATTAAATTACGCTAATGTGTACCTTGATGGTAAACATTCTGTCCATGAAAAGCTTTGGCCTCCCATCGTCAATCGCCCTCACTTTGATAGTGTACGTTGATCTCTTCTCAAAATTCAGGTTCGCATACATGGMGGTGYACACCTTATCCCCCTTGACAACAAACTTCCACCCACCGTTGTTAATCAAACGATACGTGTGTGCTTGGCCAGCATCTTCATCAGTCACAGCMAGATTACCAACCAATGCGTTATTAGCATTCTCGTCGACATATCCAACGTACCCCCCTGACAGTGTGACGTCGCTTGGTCGATCGTTGACATCGAGTACTGTGATAGTAAACGTCTGACTGTGGGAGGACCCCTTGGGGTCTGTAACCTYCACAGTAATAACTTCACTCGAGCTCTGTTCGTAGTTTAGCATCTTATTAACGGTCAACATGGCACTACACTTGGACTTCACCCCAGGGGTGTTAGTAAGATTTTGACAATTTTTATGGGAAACAGCGAATTTCCCTGAAGCATCGTCGATGAGAGCGAAGTTAAGMACTTGAACCTCATCGCGATCGAGTGAAATAATGGTCCCCACCACAGTCCCGTTGGGCGAGTTTTCGTTCACACGTGGATAGTTGTCTGGGTAGGYTTGTTGTCCATCTTTCGAGGTAATGGTTGTGTTGATGGGTGCTTCATTGATRTCGAGGACAAAGATGGTGATATTTCTGGTCAGCTGGTCGATAAATAAAACAAGAATATAAGTTAATTTCTTGATTTTCAGATATGCGAGTGTTTCAAAATATCGTTCCAATGTCCCCTGTCGATAATTTGGTTGACTGACACCAAAAAAATAGAACATGCTCAAAGGAAACAATAGACACAATAGAGTCCTTTTTCATTTTCAGCTCCTTTAGCTCAACACCTTTCAAAAAATTATCTTTTTCATTGAAAATCCCAGATATTCGAACGAAAGAATTCATAAACACCCTTAAAAACTGTCMTTGAATGAAGAGGACACTTACAATCGTTTCGTTTCCAGTTTCAAAGGTAATGGTGCCTAAGAATCGAAGCAAGACGACCGTTGAACTTGCAATGTTAGATATACCAATGACAAATTGCCTAAAACATGTCTRTAGATGCGAAAGAAGCTACCCTAGCATTGCCCGTTCACTGGTCRTCTCACTTCGATGCCAAGGAATGGCTACCTTTCAAGATAGCGCAGGGATCATATGTTGTTTCATGGTTCACTTCGTACTTACGGTAAGAGATGGAGATCCGTTATCTCTTAACTGCACAGTTACCACATGTTTCTTGTTCGTCTCATAATCGGTACTCTTTGCTTTAACAAGATAGTTGTGGTTATCAATTTGAAATCTACCATTGTCATCCTTAAGAAGGCTAAATGAAACCACTTGGCCTGCATCCTCGTCGTTCGCCGAAAGCAACCCAACTTGGGTTCCTKTAGYTGCATTTTCCATTACACTGTATCCWGACAATCTCGCGAATCGAGGACAATCATTGACATCAGTAACATTTATGGTGAAAGTTTGCTCTWTGTATAGAGGAGGAACGCCATTATCAGTACTGCGCACGCGTATKGTGTGCTGCCGCTGACTCTCGTAGTTTAGTCGGCAAAAGCTACCACCGTATTTCAAACATTGGACATTAGAAATCGCAACTTTGAGCTTGTTTTGTTCGATTTTGAATCTTCCAGAGGCCGTTTCAAGTAGCGTGTAGGWRTGCTTTTGGTTTAAGTCTGGGTCTTGGCTGGTTAGAACGCCAATTAATGTGTCTTTATCACTGTTTTCTTGAACGGTGGTTTTGGAGAGAGAGAYGAGGGTTGGCCCTTCATTGACATCTAAAACATAATGATTTCATATATATAATAAATAATTGCTCATGTACAATTTTTTTGATGTGCAGTCCCTATGGCGACCATAATCCTTAGCGCTAAAACAATAGAATGTTTAGGTGTGACGTCATAATGAAACAGGACGATTGGAAGTACTAAAAATGAATGGGTAACTGAATTGRTCAGCTGATTGCCGGGTCTGTTACTTTATACAAAAATAAAAATCCAGTTTGCAGTTGAAAAAAAAAAATCATTCTCTTTCTTTTGCCTGGCACTACGTACCTACAACAGAAATTGTGAAAGTGTTTGTGACATTCTTCGGAGGTTTTCCACTATCATTAGATTGAATCGTTATTTTCCAACTTTTCTGCATCTCGTAATCAAGAGATCGTGTTGTTTTTAGTTCACTGCCGTTAATGGCGAATGGGAGTCCATTTGCATTACCAACCATGCGATATGTGAAACTTTGTCTTGTGGTAAATTCGTTATCTGGGTCATCCGTGCTTAGTGTTCCTACAGATAAGGAAAATTATTTGTTATCATACATATTGGTGATGATTATATGTGATAAGACAATGTTGATATAAAAAAATTATCATAATTTTTACGAGACCGCTGATTGTGTTAAAGATTAAATATATATTATGTATGTCAAACGACCAAGTTGCAATATGAAGGAAACACTACCTCAAAGCGGTTTACATATGTAATTCAAACCCGTATTTGTTTATGATATTGTACGATAGCCAAAGCACAACAACAACAACCACAACAGCAACAAACTTGACAACAACAACAACAACAACAACAACCATCAACAACAGCATTAACAACAACAACAACAACAACAACAACAACAACAACCAACACCATCAACAACAATAATAACAACAACAACAACCAACAACATCAATAACAACAACAATAACAACCACCACCATCAACAACAGCAATAAAAACAACAATAACAACAACATGCCTAATCCAGTATCATCAAAAACTTACCAACGAGAGAAGGTGGACTGTTTTCTGCTATGCTGTTGCTTGACAACGAGATGTTCTGTGGACTCTCATTTACGTCATCCACGATAACTTGTACAGTTTTACTTAAACTCAGAGACGGCTTACCATTGTCAGAGCAACTAACTTGTACATCGACAACAGAAGCTTGCTCATAGTTAACTAWTGCACTTCCTACTTTTAAAACGTTTTTCTGTACAACAAACTTTCCAACCTGACTTCCGACGACGCTACAGATGTGAGTTTGCACGTTCCCTTGAGGACCAAAATTGTCGGGATCAAGCACACTAAACGAGCCAATCAAAGTGCCCCGAATGCTGTTCTCCATCACGTGGTAATTTGAAATGTTAAAGAATGATGGAGCTTCGTTGACATCGTTGACTGTGATGGAGAAACCTTTGGAGAAGCTAAGTGGAGGAGAACCCGAGTCCTGTACTTKAATAGAGATTCTGTGCTCCGTCTGAGCCTCATAATYGAGGTTTGCGTTGGACGAAACGTAAAGCTTATCCCCCTGAATTTYAAACCTCCCTGATGYATCGTTAGTGAGTTKATAGCTATAACTTTGACTTAAATCTTCATCTGTTGTGCTGAGAACTCCAACCAAAGCGCCATTAGCATTCTCATTCACCGACAACGCGCTCAGACTAATGTTRGTCGGCTTTTCGTTCAAGTCAATAACATTAACCGTCAATTGCTGAACTTTGAAAAGCCCGTGGTTGTCTGTTACGCGTATTGTTATGGAGTAAGACTTAGTCTTCTCGTAATTCAGCTTTCCATTTAGTTTCAGAAGCGTAGAACACTTTGTGTTATACCCAGGGACGTTTGTTACACTTGAACAACTTGATTTYGAAAACAATAYAAACATCCCAGATGCGTYGTCATCGAGTTTAAATGTTATCGTTTGATTGGCATCAGCATCGAGGGCAAYGAGTGTTCCTACAGAAGTAGAAAGCGGGGAGTTCTCTTTGATTCGTGGRCTGTTCTTTGGAAATGAAACCTGGCCGTTGGTAGAAGTAATTTCAACACTGACTGGAGGTTCRTTGACGTTCAACACTTCAATRATAAAAGTCTTTTCCATCTGCAAAAAAATAGGTTTAGATGTTTGAGCCTCAATCAATTCAATTCTATTATTAGCACATATGACTGTGATATCAGCTATGAAWCATTCCGCGTGTATTGGAAGAGGTGAAAACGTTAGGATATAGAGATAAAGCTATATGACATAGGGAGGAATGCAYTTTTAGCATGGTTTAAAGTTTCAAGTACGTAAGTAACGCCAGAGAATCAAGGTGTAATGTAGATAACCAAGCGAGCAAGAGCAACAAGTTCGTTATAGTTAGACATACCTTCATAGCGGGACTGCCATTATCTGTAACAACAGCGCGAATACTATGCGTCTTCTGAGCTTCGTAATTTGTTCCTTTGGCCTTATAAAGTTTCCCGGAAGAATCCACTCTAAAGCGCCCATTATCATCATCCATCAATGAAAACGTCAACGTCTGTGACACGTCCTCATCACGTGCACTGAACTGACCAATMAGAGTGTCGATGRTTGCATTCTCTAACACTTTGTTATTGGATAATTTGAGGTCACGTGGTTGATCGTTGACGTCACGGAGGATGAYGTAGATGGTAGTGTTGACGTCATAGGGAGGGATGCCATCGTCAGTGCTTTGTATTTTGACGGGGTATTTCTTGACTGCTTCGTAGTTGAGAGTACACTGTGCACCCCCCTGGGCAAGACAAGCCTGGTTGGACTGAGCAACCTTGAAATATTAAAAATGATATTATATATCATAAACATTAAAAAAAATGAAATGTATTTGGGACTTACTATCGATACGACCGCAATCGTTACCGGGTAATTTGGTCAATTTGCGCTATTTCATTATGGCGTCACATTAAAGTATTCTATTGTTTTAACGSAAAGGATTATGGTCACCAGASGGGATCAGAGTGACTGCATATCAAATAAAATRTACATGARCAATCTTTGAATGTATTAAAACTTTGAAGTTATRATTTCGGAGAGAGTATAAATGGGGCCAAATTTKGACTGTTTCTGAGMACCTTTCCCTGATCTAAACATATTTTGACGTCATAATGAAATAGGGTAATTGAACACAATATGTAGCCTATCACATGCAGACCCTGTTACAATCAATCTAAAATAMAAGTATTAGCCAATAACAGAGTGCGTTATTAGGAGCTTAGACTGAAATCTCTAGTTTGGTGACATACCCTGAGCTCGTTGTTGTAGATCTTAAATCGTCCATTTGCACAATCAATACACTTGTAGGCGTGGCTTTGGGTCGTGTCTTCATCAGTTGTTCTCAGAGCACCTATGACTGTGTCTTGTRGGCTATTTTCGTCAAGATAAGCGTTAGATATCTGAAAAATGAGGAAAAATATTACATTAAAAATTGGGTATATATACGCGGCGCGTGTGGATAGTGACAAATGTTGTCTTCCATGGTTCAAATGCGAGATATTTTCCAAGTCTGCTCATTAAACAAGAAAAGATTTTTAAAAGTTAAGAAGATAATTCTTATTAGTAAAGATTTTGTGATAGCACTCAGAATAAAAAACACATTTATGTTACGTTTCGACGTTACGAAGTTTAAGAAGAGAGGCCGTTAAAATCCGTGTCACACGAGTGCGTTTATTCACAAATGAACCAATTCGATTTTTTCCGCAAATAATTATAATAATTATAGCATAGGTTTTTCCATTAAAAAGGTTTTAAAAAGTTTTATCATGCTCGATTTATATTATTAAATGCATATTCCATAGCATAGCAATAAAAAACTCAGGTCCTTAAAATGTTGTAGGACCAATGACTGCAAGCTTTCTCGGTGCCAGTCCCTAGCTGTTTAAAAGGTATAAAGGAAKCCCGTACTATTCATTACCTGAATATCTGTTGGTCGGTCGTTGGTGTCCAGAACCTGCACTGAAATTTGCTGTGATTTGAACATGGGTGGTACACCGTTATCTGTTGCGCGAAGGTAAAAACTCCACAATGGCTTCGACTCAAAGTCAAGCGTTGTCATAGCAACAAGTGTTCCGTTTCTAACGTCAAAGGGTACTTGCAAACCAGGAATTCCGGGGGGTCCCGACTGRGGGGTGTATGCATAGAAKGTGAACRTCTGACGCTGTGTCTTCAAGTTATCGGGGTCAGAGACGGTGACGTCGCCGATGATTGTCGGGGTTTTCTAGGATAGAAAAGGTTTTTAATTACATATTAATAGACACTAGGTTATGTTTGTCTTTTGAAACAGTCCGATGACACTGCGCCGTCTTGGAACGCCCTATATAGTATCCTGTATTCAACGTTATRTGAAATWGCCATGTACATAGCAAGGCTTATGAGGGTAGAAATAAAGATATTCATAGAGGATATACGACGGAGATACGACGCTACGCTCACTCGTGAGAGATCTTTTCAAACCTCGAAGATAAAATCCGTATCTCCACGCGCCCATGTAATATCGTCTATGTGTTACCTGGTTCTCTTTGACGTTAAGGTTTGATACGACGATTTTACTCGGTGCCTCRTTAACRTCRAGTACCGTAACATTAAACGCTTTCTCTACATGCAATCCATCAGGATCCGTGCACTCTACAATTACACCCACAATGCTCTTCGCCTCGAAGTTAACGCCYGCGACACCAACGGTCAGCTGATTTACATTATTGTTCATAGATATCCCTATCATCCCAYTGGCCGAGTCGGTTAACTGACAGGTATGACTCTGACGGGATCCCTGTGGTCCAARGTTATCAGGATCGGTGATTGACAGGMTGCCAATCAAAGTTCCAGTGRGTGTATTTTCAACCACAGTAGCATTYGACAGTATTATGTCAGTWGGAGCCTCGTTTTGGTCTTTTACAGATATAATGAGGGYATTTTCGATGGAGTATTGTGGTTTACCGCTGTCCGTTGAACGAACGTTTAGACGATACGAAGTTTTCACCTCGTAATCAAGTGTTGCTGATYTGGTGATGTAAAGTTTACTACCACGTATTTCGAAGTTGCCATTTCCATTGGTGAGAAGCGTGTAGTTGTAACTTTGGYCGTGGTCTTGGTCTTCTGTCTGTAGCTCACCTGCATACGATATAAAGAAAKAAGTATTGAGAGTAAAACAATGGATTCATTTATACATTCTAGCGTGAGTTGACTATCCCCTAAGGGATCAGGGAGACTATAGGGCAGAGGGAGGATATGGTAGGGCATTTATTTCGCAGTGTGCCTCCTCGTCGTAAARATACACTTTRSCCATTCGGTTGCCCGATCTACGTTATCTTAAACGAGACCGAAGGGACATCACGAGCCGCCATTTATAGCGGTCGAGATTTRGATATTTCACATACAGAAAATTAGGTAACTTATCAACAAAATCGATTCGCAATCCGTTTCCATCCGTMRGTTTTAAKGKMRAATCTTTYAAAATCTCYATTCATACATGATAAATGAATTAC